AGATGGGCGATGATGAAGGAAAAAATAATCCTCCTGAGACTTCCATTTTTTGCATTAGTAGCTGGTTTTATAAAGTATTTTATCTTTATCAAGGTTATAAAAATGTCCTGGCACTTAACACCTCAGATTAGAGTTCCCTTTGCAAGATACCTGTCAACCTCACCGATGTATTCTTTAAAATTTTTGAAATTTTGCGCTTGTGAAGGTATTAAAGCGATAAAATGATGAGAATTTAGTGTATGGATTGTTTTTGCACGCATGGGAACCGATGATTATTGAATGCACGACAATGATATGAAAATGATGAAGTTAGATTTGACGGTTTAATTACCCAAGTTTGAGGTAATTGAATGTTTCGGCCCAGAGTTTCGGCTACTGTGGCTTGAAGTAAAATTTTGGAACGTCCTGCAATTTTGTGGGACAACAAATGTAACATTTAATGTACGCCATCGTATTTGTTGATGTCTACGACCACACCACGTTGAAAGCACGACATCTCGTCCGATCTGTTAAGTTAAGCAACGTTGGGCCTGGTTAGTACTTGGATCGGAGACGGCCTGGGAATCCCAGGTGTTGTAGACAATTTTTGAAATTTTGCGCTTGTGAAGATGTTAAAGCGATAAAATGGTGAAAATTTAATGTATTAGAACGATTTTTGTACACATAGAAACCGATGATTATTGAATGCACGACGATGATATGAAAATGATGAACGAAAATGATTTCACTAAAAGTAATCGTTTTAATCGTTTATTCAAAATAATTCGTAAATCGAGAACTCATAAACCTGGAATTGTTCGAGATTTTAATGTCAACTGCTATTGCAGAACGACGAGCACTTCAGGCAGACTCGTCTTGTTGGGTTATTTGTATTTAATTAGGAATAAATCGGTAAATCGATCGATAGATGATCCGCTTTTTAAATATCTATAAAACAATCGATCAGTTTCGATGGAAACAGCCGAGGAAGAGAAGTGTAGAATTATAGCAGAAGAACTTGTCTTGGAATGGATCGGATCGTGCCAAGAATTGTATTTCCAAATGAATGTTATGAATTATTAAAAATACAAATCCATCAAACTGAAACCAAGCTGACAAATCTTTAAAAAGTTATTGATATATACGATGCCCAATATTGGCATTTGGATGATGCGTGACATGAGTAAATATGAATATCAGGAATTGCCGGAAAATATTGTTTGTTGTTTGTTCGAACTAAGGAAATTAATTTTTATCTAGTTATCTAGTTAGTTGCAAGCAAAGAATTGATATAAATATTTTTCAGTTTACAATCGCAAATTTTCCAACTGCAAGAACTTCCTCATTCTCAGCATCATTTTTGTTTCAAATTATCTAGCAAACATCCTCGCCATTTAGTGATGATAGTGATAAGGATAAGGATATAGAACACAAAAGTAATAACTTAACAATGGTACGAAAATACAATGGAGCGATTCTGTACCGTAAGACATTAAAGGTTACGAGGAATTTTGCTGACGATATATGTGTGAATGGAAGGAGTGATAGCTATCCAGAATGTTCCTCAATAAAAGCTAAACTTTGAATTAAACTTTGGGAATTCAAAGGTTGATTTATTTAGTACGAATTGCATTTCTCAACTATTTTTTCTAATTTATTGTTACCTTATGGATAAAGTAAAAGATAAGGCATTTTGATAAGAGCGGTTATTTATGAGCACTTATAGTGAGAATGTTTGGGTATGTTAAACACAACATAACTAAACTAGCAATTTAAATTTTACGACCAATTTCAGAAGAAGAATTAGGATATCACAAGTACCAAGGGTAAAGGTCAGGTGCTAGCGAAAACAATGGCAAAGATAAATCTGCTTGTATCGGTTATTACTGATGAAGGGATAAAATCTAAGACGAATGCGTTCAAAGTTGTTACACGATCAAAAGTTGATGGTAAATCTGGGCATGAACCTTTGCCACTTCTGGAGAAATCATTGCAAGCGGGATCAACGGTAATTCCTCACCAGAAGGTGTTGTTTCATTGTCTGTTACAATCACTAGAAAATTGATTTTCTAAATCAATCCCGAAAAATATTTCAGAAACATTTCTTAAAAAAAAGCTTAGTATGTCTAAAATTTCTTAAAATCCAACAATAATTTTGCTAATTAATTTCATGAGTTGTCACATGATACTATTTGTAATATGTAACTATCATAATTTTATAAAAAAATTAAAACAAATGGCAAATGAGAAGTCAATTTCAAGTGAATTTGACTTTTATATGGAACAAGGAGGAAACTGGCTGAAAGCCGAATTAATCAATATCACTGAGTTCATAATTATCCTCGAATGCATCCTATTTCCTCGTCGAACAACTTTTTTCTATTTTGACAAATTTCTATTTGATCTTAAATTAATGGTAATTGCACTGAAGTTTCATAAAATACTTATGCTATATGCATTGGACTTTCTAAATTTCAGATAATCTTCTAATTTCTCTGGCAATCAATAATTTTAAGGTAACAATGACAAAAATGTCCTCTTGTTGATGTTTTGACCTAAATGACTCAGATTAACTTACAATCAATTCCTCTTTCACTGCTTCATTGATCAGCTATTCAATGAGTTCAATAGTTTCTCGAAAAAATGAACAAAGCATACTCTCCAACCTCTTCCCGCCGCCATTCTCTCCAGCATAGAAGATGTACAGCGGTTGAAGCATTTGGATGAATTATATATATCTGAAAATTATTTCGAAATTAGGTTGATCCGGAAACTTGTCTCAACATCTACTGATCTCGTACATGCAATAAAAACTACTGCTGAATTGAACTGATTCATTTCTCTATTTCAAATTAGAAATATTCGGGCATCCTTAAATGCGGTCAATTATATGCTTTTTTTTTGCTTCATTTTTCATCATCAATTTAGCATCATTTATAAATGATTTTCATACTGATATCGCCTACCAAAATCGCTCTAGCACCTGAAATAGTCGAAATTCGTGCTTATTGTTATATAATTTATAAAGGTATTCTTCTTGTACTTATTTTATAAAAAATCACCAGTAGAAAGAAGGAAAAAAAGAAGAAAACTTAAATTAAATAAGCAACACACATGCTGCATGCAGAAAGAGTAGCAAATACAAATGATTATGAACTTTTTCAATGCAGAAAGTAACCAATAAAATAAAAACTTCGACCTAAAAGAAAAGACAAAATTTGAATGTTTCATTTCCATATGAAATTGATATTTTCACAGCTTTATTAGGACAAATTCTAAACAGTAAGAATGGAAATAAACATTACAATCTCTTATTGTCTGTTTCTTCGGAAATAGTCCAACTTATGAAGTCGATCGGCAGGAATCAATAAAGGTCTATTAACAGAACCGATTTGTTTCAACGTCTTTTTAACACAGTCACCTAATGCATATTCTTCTTTGATCGATAAATTACTGGTTTAACTTAAATCGAAAAACTAAACTTCTCATCATAACAGCGGTTGAAGGATTACTACAAATTCACCGTATGACATATGCATTTCATAAATGATGGGCAAGATATTATTTTAAAATTTTTGGAATCAGTGAAATTGTTCCACAAAGGTGTACGAAAGTTAAGTCAAACAGTTTCCTTCGCTTCATTTGAATGGGTGGTTACCAATCATTGCAATCGTAATCAGTTTTCTGTTTTTTCTTTTTTTAAATATACTCTGAATTATTTTATCTCCAGTTTGACTTTGTGTTTTTCAGAATATATGCAATATATGAGGACAGTCAGAACAACGAAATAGAAAGCATCGCTAGCCTCGTTAATCGAAGGCGTATGGTTGTGTTTTCAAAGCACAGAAATAGGCAATTAGCATATTTTGCATGATATTCGGAATTCCAATGAATCATCCGTTTTTATATATTATCAAATATTTATCACATCTTCATAACAATGTCTTTATGGCTCTAACTGGTGATAAAACAACAGAATCACTTGTCATTGATATACACTTACTCATCTGAATTGTGTTTGCGAAACAGTCATTCAATGATAAAAATCAATTATTTTTCTCGGAAAGATTTTCCGCAACTGGATTTCATCCACCGAATTTTCGAAAACCAACAACTGCATACACGGGACCGACATAGAAATCAGACTTCGTTCCAACTTGATAGTTTACTCCAGTCATCGATGATTCATCAAGTAAACGTAACGTACTCAATGGAATGTCTGGGAATGTATTACTGCAAACAAAAAATGATATTAATTGCAAATTATGAAAAATTGAATAGATGTATTCAAATATGGAAATCCAATAACAATTATAATGCCCCGTCAATCGTTTGATTTATACCTTACATTACTTTTTTTCTTGCACGGCCGTGACGTAAGCCTTCGAAGTACGTCAGAAATTCGAATTCATTTGGCATAGTAGCGTATGTGATGTTAAATGTTGCAAATATCCTACCTGAATATCTCTTCGCTATCTTCCGGTTCAGTGCCATTGACCACAGTAAAATGAAAGGCTATTACTTGATGACTGTTAAGAAAGAGCAATTCCTCCTGCAGAAAAAGGATAATTTTACACAATAGCGAGCATATTTCTGACAAGTATTGACAACACGTGAAGTCACGTTAAAAACGCAGTTAGCCTCAGAAGTTTGAAGAATTACCAAGCTTTTAACGAGAAAATGATTTCACGAATTAACTGAAGTAAATTAAAAAACAATTAGAGCGAATAAACAAGTCAAACCTTCCAGTCCTCAAACTTTATTTTCAACATTTCGCTGTTATCATTTTTATCTACTAGAAGAGTCGATGCTTTTACGTCAGATCCGTAGAAGGCCAAAATATTGCCTTGCACCTCCTCGGGATTGTTGTGTGTACTGAAAATGAGATATTTGTTGCGGTAATATTAAAATATTCATCATCTGTTCATAATTATTATAGGATTCATCCTATTTCGGAAGCCGTCAAGAAAGACATTCTTATTCGAAACGGAATTTCCTTTTGGTCCTTAGTTCCTCCGAATCAGTCCAGAATTAATTCTTCTCAACTCCTTCCGGTGTCACTCCATTCTAGATTGGTCTGTTAGCCAAGAAACAATCAAGTCTTACATACTCATTCTTTCGATTATCCTGTTGAGCAACAACACAAATTGGTGCGCTAACACCTTTCTTTCGAATTTCTTCAGCTACATTCAGAGCTCGACTTTCAGCGCCTTCATGAGTATATTTGAGATCGCTACTAATCACAATGACCAACTTCACTCCATCCTGGGATTCATCATTATCTCATTAGGTTTCGAAAATCATACTTCTAATAAACTCTAGAAATGAAATCTTATGCAGAATTCACTTTGCTATAAATATAATACTTCAAGGTGTCAATACTGATGCATTGAACTTTAATTAACTCACTTTGTAGATTTCCAGACGCTCGACAAATATCATATCATTTTTTATCGAACTACTGAAAAAACTGTCGCAGTCAAGGATAAGCATGAGAATGATCAATATACCATTGGATATCGAATATTCGGTAGAGTTTTGCATTGATTACAGTTTGCTTCTGTTAATATAAAAGATGACTAACATAACGTCGTCTTGCCAGAAAAAAGAGCACTCAAACGACAAAAGAAATGAATCGTATGGGAAAATTACTCCGTTCATCGGACTTCCTTTTATTTCATCGGGGTGAAATGGTTTATTTACTGAAATCACATAATTGGAATTACTTGTTTTAATTACAGTAAGATTATGATGCAAAAATCTATTAAAAGTTTCTAACTAGATGCGTAATCCGCGTGTATTACTAGATGGTCTTTGCGAGATGTTATTTTCAGCACTGAACAAGGATAGTTCGCCGCGACTATTGCACTGATCGGTTTTTCTCCACCGAACAAAATAGCTTGATCTGGTGTCCAATGATGCATCGCGAAGGATTTTCGGTGCTAAAGTTTGAATTTCCATCACTACGTCATCAAATCTTCGTCTTTTATATGTTCTATCTGATTCCTGATTTCTGATTTCTGATAGGAACAAAGAATAGAGCATGCCTGATCATCGGTGAGGTTCGTCTCAGATATGAATTTCAAAGCATTCTTTAAATATTGAGGGGTTATTTCACCATCCCGGTAATGCAGTATTCTACACCGACGGTTTAACACGTAGTTTGCATACTCAGACATCTCCGGGATCTCCCTGTAAGATGATATGAAAAAATAATCCATTATTATTACCAATTAATTCATTATAACTTATTAACTCATTTCAGTTTCCTTTATCTCTTACAGTCACTAGTAATTGAAATCACAAAATCTGACGGATATGATTTTTCGACTTTCTGGAATATCTGTAGCGTGATGGTATACGTGAAAGGAAAGTGCTAACGCAATCTTTATTAAATCATCGTTGGCTAAGCAACCAAAAATTCGATCCCCCTCTTCTCTAAAAACAACGTCTACTTTATCGCTGAGATGCGGAAATTTCATTTCAATCTTTCTTTTTTGTGAGCGCTGGGTCCTTCCTCATCTGTTCCTCCTGAAATTCTAATTAATCCATCGCTAATGTCCTTGTTCTTCACGTATTTAAACAGAAATTGTGAATTCATTCAAATTTCATAATCATACACTGTATATTTCAAAATAGTTCATTTAAATTTAGAGCTTGAAAGTTCAAAAAGTCTACCTTTTGCTAATGTAATATTGGATGACACCACAAAGCCCAAAAGGGATGTGAGGATGG